TTAACATAGTTGAAATAATGACTAAATTTTATCATAGGTTTTATGTATCACAAACATTTTATGTACATTATTTAATTTGATCCGTATAATGATTCTAAAAGTAGATACTTTTATTGTCTCTGTATTGTAGATGAGTTAAGAGAGTTGAATTACCTTGCCCAAACTCTTTCCTGAAATTTGTGCTGTCCCTATCATAGATGACTATAAGAAGCAAGTACTCAGTATGGGACTACATTTCCCAGCTTCCTTTGCATCTTGGTGAAACCATGTGATTAGTCCTTACCCATGGAAAACAGTGAAAGGGTTGTATATCTCCTCCAACCTAGCCAATTATTGGCTGTGCCTTCTCTATACTCTCCATTAATCTCCTGGTTGGATGCAGAAAATGCTGGGGTTCTAGAGACAGAAGCAGCCCAATGTGCAGGATTCTCAGGTCTGAGTCGCAATATGGAGGACTGTTCATCAGGGACAGGAGCGCTGAATTGTCACAGGAGTGAGAAATAACTTCTATTGTGTCAAGCACTGTTAATTTGGGGGTATTTTTGTTGTGGAAACCAATGTTACCTTCACTAATACATAAGATTATTCTGGAGGGGCCAGAAAACAATTCGAGGGAGTCCATCCTGGTAATCACGCTGGTACAGTGCCTTTCAGGAAAGGAGGCGCAAGCCCTTCACTGTAGTTGGTTCAGGGCAGAAATGCAAAGGAGCACCCGGACAGGATTCGGAGACCAGGTCCAAAGAGTTCTGCAGAGAGGCCAGGCTAACTTGTGTCTCACTGCAATGCATTTACCTGTGGCCATCCGGTCAAAAACAAAACAAAACAAAACAAAAATAAGAACAAAAAGCTCTGTTATCTTGAAGGGCTGCTCAAAGGAAGTTCACATTTCTTTTCTTTCTTTAACCTGAATATCATCAGCTCAGCTTTCTGAGAATCTACCAAAAAACAAAACTGGAATGATTTGAGAAAGTAAAATAATTATTCTAGGCACCTTCTTGAGTGAATTAAATAAGTTTTTATCCTCTAAAATTGAAAAGTGTGCCGCCAATGCAGCTACACCCAAACTCCATGGTGCAGGCTAGGAGGTACCCACCACCAATGTGTTTAGGTGCTCACTGGCTTCAAGCAATCTGGATTTCCAAACTTGTACCCCACACCACCCCCACATTCTCTCAACCATCCTAGTTCTCCAGGCCAGTGCATACCTCTTTTATGGGCTAAATTTCCTGATGGTTATGATTTTAAAATCTCTGGCCTCAGAGTGCTATAATTACCTCTTGATGATGTAATTAGTAACAAAATTTAATGGGGTATCATGGGACACCTAGAACCTTTCCCAACGCATCCACTTCATTTATAAAGGGTTTTGATCCACTTCACCAACCAACTGCCCATAAAACCAGGGCTCCCCTGGCGACAGAATCCACCCACTCCTAGTGAATGCTGCACACTGACCTACGCCATAACGCTAGGTTGAAAATATTATAAATGTTGTCAGTGACCAGTAACTCACAAGCGCTCTCATTACCTTGCTAGCAGTAGAGGCAGGTGTGCTGAAGTTAGCACCCTGGGATGCATTAGCCATGATGTAGGGAATTAGTCACGAGTCCCCAAAAGGCATGTTTTCCCCACTGCGAGGCTGCCAAGGGCTTAACGCGAGAGCTCCAGTGTGAGAGCCGGGCGTTCTCTGGCAGCTTGGCCGCTGTCTAATGAGAGCCAACCCTGAGTTCACAGGAGGGGGAGGTTGTCCTTTCAACCCTGCCCTCACCTGCCACCCCCATCACAGTGAAGGTTGCCAAAAGAGAATCCAGGCACGGCCCTAATGTGACATTCTAAAGGCCCTGCCAGACGGCTGAGTGTCCAACACACACCCCCACAGCCTGGTTTGTGTCTGCTTACTTTTCCGGGGTTTACATTTCAAAGGTGAAAGGATAAAACACACACACACACACACACACACACACAACCAGATCAGAGCTAATTCCGAGTGTGCTACAGGAGACTTTGTGGCCAGATGTAATGACAAACACATCCGCAAAATCCTCTAATCTGATAACAATGCCACTTCATCAGTAAAGAAGACACACTTCAGCTTGGGAAGTCCTTGGGGATTCCTTGGAAACTTCTAGAGTGAGCTCAGTAAACCAATGGCCTGGAGACTTTAAATAGAACTTGGATATACAGATGAGCAAGCAAGCGAGGTGCCCGTTTTTATTGCTGGGATCAGTTCTGACATTTAAAGCCATCGGTAACTTGGAAGGGGAAAGAGAGGACTACTTCCAAGGGAAGCCGGAATGATGCATGACTTAGCCAGCAAGGACCTCAGCAGAGAATGTGAGTGAGAACACCATTGTGCCAGTTAGAAATCTCTTTGAACAGACCTGACGCAGAATGGAAAATTGAAATAGTCCCTAAAACGGAGGCAGAGCTCAAAGTTCCAAATGTGCTGTCTGAACCTGACCTCAGTGTGGCCTACACATGCTAGAGGAACCCGGAAGAAACTCTGGACATCGGCAGGCTCCTGCTGCCTCCCCCGGGGGGCTTTCTTGATCACCGATTCCCTCCTGAGGTCTACAACTAGTTTTAACCTTGGGGTCATCTTTTACCAGCTATGTTATCTCAACCCAATTTGCAAAACAGGAATCATAATCCAAATTTTTTTTCTTGGAATATGGAGATTACCTGAGGAAATGTAGGAGATTCCACTTAAAAAACTAAAAACAGAAAACAAATCAAATAAAAAAACCCAGCGTGCTCCTGAATCAGGGAGAGAAATGTATATTCTGAAAACTTCAAGTCCTACTCAAGGAAATTGCTCGACCCTTGGCCGAGTAAGAGTTTGTTTTAAAGGTCAAAGATTTATAGGAAGGCTCTGGTGTTGTACACCAGGGGGTGGGTGGCAAGCACGGCTGTGAGCGAGGACTTGCTCAAATCTGTTTCAGGGAAAAAAATGGTACAGATGCGAGGCACGGCCTGTCTCAAGTTCAGGATGCTTCTTGGGGGAAGAGGGACAGCACCACAGACATCCGCATGCTTTTTCCTGGAGGTAAGCACAAGGTGTCCTTTGGGAAACGATCCATGAGTCAGGCCCCTCTCCGGCCCCCTCAGCGGGGGGTAAGTGAAAAATGCTCACAGGTGCCCCTTCACCACCCAGGGCCTCTTAACATTAGCAGGATGCTAATTCCCCCAGATGCATGCCTATGAGACCCTTACTGGCTTCCTCCTGGGTTACAGCCCTCATCTGTAAGGTCTCCCTGTGCTAGTGCCACCCACGTCCCCACATCCAGTGCTTCCTGATAGGTAACCAGAGACAGGTACTTTCCTAAAGATCACGTTAAAGAAAACCCATGATCATCCACAAACGACTCAAACTCCTTTACCTGCCAATTAAGGACATCGAGACCTAGCCCCCACCCATCTTCCCAAGCTCTCCCTACTCAGAACCTCTGCTTTCCTCAAGTTGCACCTGTTGTCCAAACACAGAGCAGATGTCCCTGCCTGCCTGACTTGGTCTGTGCTGGCTCCGTTTTCTTTTCCAGGCGTGGCATCATCCACAGCCATGGGCACGATCTGCACAGCCCCTCTGCCTTCCTGGAGCCACCTGCTGGATTTGCCTCCTACAGTCTTCTGAAACTTCCCCAGAGCGCCTCTCTGTGGCTCTATGGATTTTCCTCCAAGCACCTATGTGTTTCCTTTGTAATGAGGTTAGTTCTATCCTTTCTGTATTTTGTCTTCTACTGTAGATTCTTTGAGGTCAGGAACTCACGTCTTCATTCTCCTGATTATATAATTCTGTAGGTGTCCCATGTTTGTTAAGTGATGGCTGTGCTACTGAACAGATGAAGTTTAAACTTTCTTCTTTTGCTTATTCTGTTCTACACAAAATGCTCTACCAGGCATAAAGTCAAGTTCAAGACTCATCTTCTCCATAAAGCTTCCTCAGACCCCACCAACCCCTCTGCTATCTTTATTGTCTATATACCCAAAAAGCCCAACAGGTACTCACCTCATGTCCACCAGCTGTTTGAAGATCACTGATCTTACTTCTCTAAAACACAAAGTCTTAAATCTGAGCTCCATGGATATGATTAGGGAGACCATGAACCCTCCAAAATTAAATGCAAATTTGTGTGTCAATTCCTAGGTGTCCTAGAGTGCCCAAAGCTCCATGGCCCAAAAAAGGTTAAAAGAAGCATTGTTCTAAGAGGACCTAGCGCAAAATGGAGTATGTCTTGGACGTCTTTCCCATTTCCTCCAGAGGCTAGCTAAGTGTGAGGCTGTCCTCGAATGGCTGGAAGTATCCCAGATGGGACCAGTGTTCCTGGATTTCCATTGTGCCCCACCCAGCACAGCTCCTGGCTGGTGTGCTGCATAGCGTTTGGTAATGGCATTGTACCCGGGCAGACACAGAAGCCCAGGACTGTGGTGAGTTAATGCCTAAATCAGAATGGTAGAAGAGCACCTGGCCTAAAAGAGTTACTTTCCTCTGTATTAAATTCTACAATAAGGTGGGGCAGGCCATGCCAGTGCTGCAGGAAGCCAATGAGCCCTGGGTGGTTCTGTACTGTTAAAAAGTAAACCCATAAAGGAACTGATCTTCTCTGGGGAGGGCCTGGCTTCATCCTGGAGGCTCTGGGCTGAGTCCTCACCCTTATCCTGTCCCCTCCCTTTCTACCTTGCCCAGCCTGCACAGGTGCCTCACAGCAACACAAGGTGTGCTGAGTGCCAGAACCCGTATGTGTTGCATTAATATAAAATAGCCTTTATAAAAGATAATGCTTTAGAGAGCCAGTGTGAGCAAAGGGGTTGAGTGGCAGGTCAAAATAAGATCTTTTACCAGCTCTGCTCCATATATATATATATATATATATATATATATATATATATTTTAAAAGTCTATGGAACCTTTTTAAATTACACATGGTGACTTTAACTATCCAATGAAAGAGTTGATTTAAAAACAACAAAATGAAATGGGGGAGAGACGATGGGTGACTTTTAACAAGATGAATTCCTTTGGGTTTCTCCTTGATTTAAGTCACGGTTGGTGTTACAAAAGAATCATAAGCAGCTGATACAGGCGTGGTTTCGATAAAACTCTCCTAAGTAATGATGATCCCACCTTATTTAGACAAGTCAGGGGTCAATATGGCCTTATTTGCTTCTGTTTTCCATTAGTGTTGCTCTCTCTGTGTAGCATCACACTTCCTACCAGCTCCTGGAATACACAGAGGAGTCATGCTTCAGTTCTGCATGTATTAAGAATGCAGCCATAGCAACTACTAGCATTAATGAACTATTTGCTTATGCAGTAATAATTAACTTCCATTACATTACTTTGTGTGATTACTTTCTTAATTGCCTGAATTATGCATCCATTTAATATTTAATAACCATTCTCAGAAATCAGACACTGGTAAAAAACAAATTGCTCGCAGTTTCCTTGCAATAATTAAGCTCACAAGAATAAATGAAACCTTTTAAAAACGAATGCCTTGTGATTATATCCTTGCATATAGAACAAGATCCTAAATTAGTTATTTATTAAGTCTAAATTTAAGTCCAAATAGTGCATTTTTCACTTTCACCCCGGGAAATCAACCTGCACCGTACCTGATATCAACAACAGAATTAAGTGCCTCCTATTTTCTTTGGGAGTCACCAACTGCATGAATATTTATTGCCATGCAAAATTCAAAAGTCCTTAAAATATTGGGTGTTTATTATTTATTTCAACTCGGCATCTCTCTTACACAAGGTAAGTAAGATGTTTAGCCGGAGATTAAAGTGTTAGGAAATGCGATCAATAGCTCTCCATTAAGACGGGCTATTGTGAGCCGCCCCCATTCTTTTCTGCTTCCTAATCCTCCCTCCCACACTCACACTCACACACACACTCAAGCCCATTCATTCCCCTCCAAGTCCCTTAAAGGCCAGTGAGCACACACACGCAGTCTGATTTTGAGCCGGCAGCAGGAGATGCGTAGCAATTTATCCTCCAGCGCTGATGCTCACAACCAGGCAGTTGTGTTTGCTTTGCCTTTCCAGGTTGCCAGTGAGATCTCTGGGAACACCCCCTTTGCCCTTCCACCAGCGCCCAAGCAAAGCAACATGCTAATTTGCAAAGAGATAATGCTATTATCCTATTGTACATCAGCCTCAGTTCCCTCTGGCTTGCAGAGGCATCACTGTCTTAGCAAATAAAACGTGCGACTGCTTTATCACAGGTTTTCATGGTGAATGAATTCTATCGAATCTGGACAAGACAGCTTTTTTTTTTCCCCCTCTTCCCGGGACTGCAGATGCAAAATTGTTCTGCCATTCCACATTGATTATGGCAGCCATGTACAGACGTGTTTATCTGAACCATAACCATGTTAAACTTAAGCTACAGGGACACTAGGATGTTATTTAGCCACTGTTACCCTGTGCATACATAATATACACAAAATAATGTATGCCACATGGAACAGGGGAGGGGTGAGCTTAGAGCACTTTGTACCAAAGGGACTAGTCCAGAAAAATAGGTGCAGCCTAGAAGATCGCATACGGAGTACCAGGTGCATCACTGAGATAAACCATTTTCTTATGAGAAAGGAAACTCTTTTGCCAGGGCATGGACATAGCCATGGAGAAGGGGTGCAGAGGCGGTGGCAGGGGTGGGGGCGGAGGAGGGTGAACAGTTGATCTGTGGCAAACAACTGGAGTTTAGGGTGTCGCCAGCAGCAACGGCTGTTATTCTGAGTTCCTAAACTGAGTGAAATTGATGCCAATCTCGCTGACTGTTGCTACAGTGGGCAGAGTCATCAGGATTTGCTTTTTAAATGATCTCCCAGCCTGGATGGCTGAGAACGGCCGGCAAGGCAAGGTTAGAGAGAAAATGATAGCAGTGTGTTGATGCTTCACAGACCTCATGATGGTTTCCGTCTGTCATTATTTACGTCTGGTGAGACGCGGCGTGTCAGCCACCTCGAAGGCACTGGGATACGGAGCAGCCGTTTGCCTCCGCTGTAGTGCAGCCAGACTGGGATACTATTATTTTTGCATCACTACACTTAGGTGAAGCTTGCTTCAATCTTTCAGTAATGACACGCAGAAGAAATAAAAATGGTTGTGTCCAAGTTATTATACATGCTTGTATTCTAACAGGCCTCGTCAGCCTGGTTCAGAAAAAGACAAAAAAGTGAATTTAAATCAATAAACAGACATTTATTAAAAGGTCAGCTTAATTTTATTTGTTTCGGCTTCTCTGCCAATATTTTAGGTAGCACTATTTTCCTTCGGCTGTGGCTGATGACACTGGTGGGATGCAATCACTTGGAGTATGCTGTGCACGGAATAGGTGATCACGTTTGTTTATGTTGCTTAATATCATATTATATCCTCTTTATAAATTCCATCAGTGTCACTGTAATAAAGCCACATGTAAAGCTTTTGGCTTATCTCTGTATTATGGGCTCTGTTAAGGACATATTTTCAAATAAGATGAATGTATCTAAAAACTATATATAGGGGCACCTAATCACAGTGATTTGAAAATCTAAGGTAGTTATTTTGTATATCAGGAAAAATCACTATTATGGCAAAAAAAAAATAAAGTAGGATATTTATGCTATCTCCCCCTAAGACTGTCTTAATAAATGAAGCTGCTGCCCGTTTATACCTGTCCTTGGTACAGAAAAGAAATGTTAGCTGAAAAGACTCTCAAATGTCACAATTTATTGACACCATTTTATCCCACTGAATACTGCAACCTAGCTTTAGCAGGAAGCACGTTTAAAAAAGGCCAAAATATTCCAGGACATTTCCTCCTTACGTTTAAAACATATAATAATCATAACCAGATTTAGTATGAACAAAACAATCGGCAGACCCATTTGAAAATGCAAAAGCATATAAATACAGGCCTTGTGTCCGTTACAGCACATAAACAATTTGTAATTTTCTTCACATGCATAATTTGGTACCAAGACTTGAAGAGGCACAATTTAAAGAAATAACTCATGCGTGCCTTAGGAGACCACGTTTATACGGTGTCCAGCAAGATTCTGTATTTAAACAGTAAGTAGGATTGGCATATCTGGGAAACGAATTATTACTCTATCTGGGAAGAATTGAGATATTACAGGGACAAACACAAAACCGATCCCCGCCAAAATTCTAGGCATTAAGCAGGATGCCACGGCCACAGCGTTAACGGAACACATTTCTCTCAAATGTCCGGGGCCCTCCGAGACAGCTGGGGATGCACAGGGCTGGGTATTTATATTTAGATGGAAGAAGCGATTATATTTCTGAAGGCCATCCAAGCCGCGTAAGCGCAGTGCTGGGATGACAGAGATCTCTTTCTCGTGTTACAATCAGACGCCCGGTTCAGGAAATTATTTTTTCAGGTTGATACCTGTGTGTCTGAGGCACATTTTTATAAATTTCAAGTCTAACACTTTGTCAGGACGAAATGAAATGTTCTGCATACATAATCTGTCTGTAGAATACCACAGCATTTGCATTTTAACCAGTGTAACTGTCATAGACTACTAAATGCAGTAACTTGAAGTAGAATCAATAATATTCTCTTGAATCCTTAAAAATGTTTAATAATTACAGTGCAGTACATATGTTAAAGTACTTTAAAAAAAAAAAAAAAAAAAAACGATTTGCCCAAGGCGGTTTTTTCTTACCTGCTGCCCAAGCTACATGTGAGTTGTGGCCAAAAATGAACAGTAGGTGGCAGTCAAACCACTAAACTACTTCAAGGCTTCATTAACTAGAATCTGTTGTTAAGAGTAATAGAAAAGTAGTGTATTTTTCCATTTTAAAGAATTCATTTCATAATTAATCTTGAAATACATTTCCAAGGTCCCAAGCTACCGAAATAGTAAGTTGATTGCATCCTTAAGTGAATGAGCCCGGATGAAAGTGATTTAATTCAAGAACCCTTTTTACTCTGTCTCTGACTTTCTCCCCCATTTCCCTGTTATTACAGCTTTAATGTGAGTCTTTATGCAGTTTGGTAGTCGTGGACATGATCAGCACATTCTTGGACTGGATCCCAGGACTGTGTAAGCCATGCTTAGATATCTGTGTGCAGGATTTTAATAACCTGCAGGAACTTTTTCTTGCCCAGGTCTTAGAGATGGAATGTCTATAGTCCCTTCCTGTGCCAGCTGGGAAGGAGAAGGTTCCACACAAGTGGCTGAAACACAGGAGGAATGTCCTCCAGATCAGAGAATTGGAGCCAGATGAAAATGCAGACAACGTGAGTGCAACTGTGAGTGTGACGGAGCTCTGCAGGAAGCCGTGCCCTGTCCGTGGGAGCGTGGTTCACCACGGTGTCCCCACAGCGGAGAACTAGGTGCCAGGCACACAAAACCTTCAATAAGCAGTTGCTACAAGAATCAATGAGGGGCCGGAATCCAGTGCCATCCACTTCTCGGATGTCTATCCCAGAAGTTCTTGCTGCTGTCGTTCTTCCATGATAAAGCTACATTCCCACTCCCCACAGCTGTTCTTCCCTCAAACCTCACTGCAAAGGACTAGCCCTGGGAACTGGCACCCCCGAGCCAGCCCAGCAGGCTGTGGCTCCTGTCTAGTCGGTCTGGAATGTCCATGATGCCTGTCCTATGAATTACTGGGCACACTGCTTCTCCAAGATCGAAGCTCCTGCTGCAGAGAAAGAGACAATTCGAGGAGCAGCTCTGGCCCGAAAGCTGAGTCAACTTAACCAACTTACGATGTGCCTGCCTGAGACAGTTTGCTCATCGGAAATCTGAGGCTACTCAAGTGTCTGCCTTATAGGGTTGCTGTAAGAACTGAATGAGCTGGAACACGTTAAAAACAAACAAAACAAAACAAAAACCTTAGCCTATTGTTATGGGCATGGTGAGCCCTCACATAATATTTGTTATGATTACATTTTATTACTGTATGTCTCTTATTATTACCATTTATCATTGGCCTGGGTTGAAGTCTAATATGTCACCAAAAGTTTTTGTTCATTTTACTGTGCATTTCAATGAGACACACTGTCACAGTCAGTGGACTTGGTTATTATTTATCCCAAGATAATAACTATTATCCCAAGATAATCATATTTGAAAATTGTTTTCTATGAAGAACTAGAAGACTTTGAGGCAAAAAGGAGCATTCTTACAGTTGATATGTTAAGGAACACGTACAGTTGGCTTAATAGTAATGAGTTCCTGCAAAGCAAAGACACAAGAGAAACTAATATAATCAGGTTTGTAGCCAGAAGACCCAGCAAAAACAAAGCACACGTGGACAGGGACGTTTTAAGTTGACCAAAGGCTTGATTTTTTTTGACCCAGCTTCCGAGACAGTCAGGAAATAATTAACATCCCTACCCTCTCCACCAGCAGCCCTGTGCTACCTGTGTCCCTGTCCGCCTGAACTCAGAAGACATTCTCCAAACAGGGCAAGCTCACCTCACCACTTCCACTGACTTCGATGTTTTTCTCTGTTTATTAAAGTGACCACCTTCAGGATAATTAGTTTGAGAAAGAAGCATGATAGAGTGATTTCTTTTCATCTCCTGTGGAACAGGGAGTTGTATTTTATCAAAACTAAATTCCATTTCCAAGGGGACCCATGTTTCGCCCAAACATCAGAAAGGAGGCGGTTCAAGCTGCGTTTACGACCTGGCAATTTACTTCTTTGGGATGAAGCTAGCAGTGGGCCAGCCCTGCAAACTGGCTTTTAAGGTTGCAATAATACGCATTTTCTAATACGACTGAGAAGTATTTAGGGAAATAAACAATCTTTTTTGCCCCAGTCTATCTATCCATTCCTTTCCTCCCAGGGCAAATTTTCCCCAGTATCTTCAGTAAAGAAATGCGAACTAGTCGATGTCTTAAAAAATTGAAGAAATGAGTAATTTGATAGCTTTCTAAGACTCAGCCTTCTTTTTTTCCAGAATCTTCTATGCTGTTAGGTGACTCCTTGAGGAAGGAGGTCAAAATATTAAGTTTGAGCAATTTAAATAAGAGACATTGAGTAATTTAAAAATGAGACGTCCAGTACAAGACTCATTCATTTAAATTACTTGAAAATCCAAGGTAGACTGGATATAATTAGGAGCCCTGTATGTCCTCAGGCAATTTCACTGGGGTTAGGAGATTGCTTTAATAGAATATGACAAGGTTCCTTTTGTTTTTCATAAAATATTGTATTCCCCATTGAAATGTAGCAAATCCTTCATGAAATCACAGCCCCTTTATTGTTAGAAGTACTTTTTATGTTTCAAGAGATCAACAATGTCAAAGCAATTACTGAAAATTAATGATGGTCCAACCTCAAAAGATTCAGAGGTTGGTTAGTGCAAATAAGCGAAGCCTCCCATGAACCTATTTGAAGGTGCCAGTCGAAAAGCTTATCTGATAAGGTGCTCCAGGGAGAGAGATTGGGCCAAATGCAAAGTAGGGTTGCATGGGAGAGAAAATATTGGGCAAGGATAGAATAAATCTGATTTTCATTGATTCTGTTACCCACTTCCAGGATTATTCCAAGGAAATAGCTCTGAGTCTCCAGACACACCTTTCCTTTTTTTCCCCTTTGTTTTGAGTTATTTATTTAAGATGAGAAATAAATTATCTTCTACCAAGAACTGGAAGACTTCTGCATCAAAAAAGTATAAAAACACAAATTTAGATTAAGAGTAATGAGTTTCTACTAAGCCAGAAAACACACACTTGCACTTGGTCCTCAATTAGTAAAATTTTATGTTCTGAATAAACCTGCAAGCAAAACAGTGGTGGTAACTAAGAATATTATAGCCAATGGCACTTATATCTGATGCGATTCCTCGGGAGATAAGAGGATTGAGGAAGGAGCAAACCAAAACATTCATGGTGTAAGTAGTCACGCCAAACTGTGTGTGTGGATACACAGGTGGCCACACACAGACTCCTTGCAGAGTGGCTATCTCACTTCCAAGCAGACCTGAAGGTAACTAGACTAGATGAATGGATCAATGCAGGCTGGATCATGATGTGAACCCAAAGTGCTCTGTATTGTCCCAGTCCTATTTGCCTTTCTATTTTTATAACAATAAAGCTGAAGTCATAAAACGGACACCCAGCAGATCCTTAGAAAACAAGAAATGCTTGAGAGGGAGAATTATTATGTTGGATGACACCATCAAGATTCAGAAACCAGGGGCTCGTGTTGTAGCAGAGTGGGTGAAGCCTCTGCCTGTGACAACAACATCCTGTATGGGCACTGGTTCGAGTCCCAGCTGTTCCACTTCCATTCTAGCTCCCTGTTAGTATACCTGGAAAAGCAGTGGAAGGTGGCCTAAACACTTGGGCCTGTGCACTCACATGGGACACCCAGATGAAGGTCCTGGCTTCAGCCTGGCCCAGTCCTGGCCATTTTGGCCATTAGGGGAGTGAACTCACAGATGGAAAATTTCTCTGTCTCTCCTTTCTCTGTAACTCTGCCTTTCCAATAAATAATAAATCTTTTTAAAAAAAAACTAAAGCAAAAAGATTCAAAAACCTAATTGGCTTGAAGGTAGACTAAAATAAATCAGGTGAATTCTAGCAGGAAGAGAATCCTTCACTTAGGTTCAAATGCACACACATACATGCTGCACACACATATGTATGAGACAGGGGACATTGACTAGTCTGTATATAAACATGCATAGTCTAATCTCACTAAAAGTTCATAATAAACAGTGTAGTGCATGCCAAAAAAACATGAAAATGGTGGTGGCTAATACATCATTGTCAATTCTGTATCAGGCACATCTCTAAATTACTCACAGGCAATTTTCCACCTTCATTTCATAGATCAAAGGTTGAGATAGAGAAAGGGTAGGGGACTCACCCTAGGGCAGAGTCAGGACGACAGCGCCAGAGTCTTCCCCCAGAGCCCATGATGGATCTCCGCCGCCACACGACGTTCAGCTCAGGGAAGACGACTGCCCCATTGTCTTCTGGGCTGGGGTCTGGCTCTCTGTTTTCCACGTATTTTAAGATGGACCAGGATAAAGTGTACCTGTAACATCAAGAAGCAAAGCTGTTGGAAACAAAGATGCTTGCCTGGAGGGGAGAAGAATTGGGGGGTTGCCAGAAAGGTTCTCAGATGTCTAGACTAGAACTTGTCAAGGGCACGATTACATCTGTTTATGTGATCCCCTAGGCACGGAGTCCCAGGGAGGCGAATTCCAACAGAACACATGCTCCCGACACACAAATGGTCTAAACCAGGATGGGCTGCCTTATGAGGTAGTGAGCAGCGCATCTGTGGAAACAATCAAGAGGGAGCCAGCTGAAGGAGCAGTGCCATACAGGGGCAGGAAGGTTGACCAGATGACTGTAGGGGGCCTTCCACGGTGCAGAGACTTAGACAATCAGGGTAAGGTCTGAAATGGAAAGACTGCCTTGGGGAACTACTTCGCTTCCTCCACCCAACACACACATGCTTTTTCCTTCTGGCCCTGTCCTTATATGGAAGTAAATGCACCGAGTTTGCAGCTAGTGGACCTGAACACTTGCTAACATTGTACGTAAACATCTCTATTCCCTTAATTTCATTCTATGGGGAAGAAAATGAAGAAAATGAAGAAGAAGGAGGAGGAGGAAAAGAAGGTAGGTAGGAAGGAAGGAAGGAAGGGAGGGAGGAAGGAAAAAGAAAGAAGAAAGAAGGAGGGGAAGGAGGAGAAGGAGGGAAAGAAAGGGAGGGAGAGAAGGAGGAAAGTCAGAAAAATAGGTCTAGTCAGGCCTTTTTCTTCCTCTCTTGCAAGATTTGTGTGACGCCAACATTAGATAATAGATCAGTGAGAGCTCTGACGCGGCGGAATATATGAGGCAGATGGAAAATCCTGGAACATGGAAGTGCCCCCCTCGGATGCTGAGAGCACCCTGTGAATTCTCGGTCCTGAAGGACTTTTCATCCACAGAGGTTTGGTCCAGTGTTCCGTGTGAGTCCTGCGTCATGGGCTTCAACCCTGCTGTCTCCCGCAAGTGGTGAATGATAGTACCAGGAACCACGGCAGTCGGGGGGCAGAGCTCTGTACAAAGACTTGTCTGCCAGTGTCTCCTCGTCACTGTGCTTGTACGTGACATCATCACCACATGCAAATGACTGGACTCTAGGAATGGGATGCTTCTGTGCAAGTGGAGAGAGTTCCATTGTGTAAAATATACACATGTGTGCACGCACATCCACATCTCACAAAATCTCAGGGTGTAAGGTTGGGGCCGGCGCTGTGGTGTAGGGGTAAAGCTACCGCCTGCAGTGCCGGCATCTCATATGGGAGCTGGTTCTAGTCCCGGCTGCTCCACTTCTGACCCAGCTCTCTGCTATGGCCTAGGAAAGCAGTGGAAGATGGTCCAAGTCCTTGGGCCCCTGCACCTGCATAGGAGACCTGGAAGAAGTTCCTGGCTCCCAACTCAGATCAGCACAGCTCCAGCCGTTGTGGCCAGTTGGAGAGTGAACCAGTGGATGGAAGACTCTCTCTCTGCCTCTTCTTCTCTTTCTGTTTAACTCTGACTTTCAAATTGATAAATAAATCATTAAAAAAATACCCAAGGCTTTTTGATACATTCTAAGCCAATGAAATATATGAACCCTTATTGCTGGTCATCACTATCTACCATGTATTTTTTTTTTAAATTTACTCATACCAACTTTAAAGTAAAGCTACAAGGGCCAGCATGGTGGTTCAACGGGTTAAGCTGCTACTTGCAAAACCCGCATCCCATATCAGGGCATCAGTTCAAATTCTGGCTGCTCTGCTTCTGAGCCAGGTCCTGTTACATGTCTGGGAGCAGCAGAAGGTAGCCCACGTGTTTGAGTCCCTGCAACCCATGTAGGAGACCAGGATGGAGTTCTTGGTTCCTGGCTTCAGGTTGTCTCAGCCCTGGCTGTTAACGGCCATCAGGAGAGTGAATCGGTAGATAGAAGTATCACTCTCTCACTCTCTCTCTCTCTCTCTCTCTCTCTCTCCCCCTCTCTTTCTGTTGCTCTGCCTTTCAACTAGCTAACTCAATAAATAAATACTGTAATGTTCTGTGCTGTTTTAAGAAAAAAGATAAATCCACAGGAATCAAATGAATTTATGTAATAAAGTAACTGAAGAATTTTCTAGATAGTTTTAAAATACAATTCTAAACTTAGAAAAGCAAATGTAACAATTTGGACATCGGGAATAAAGACATAAGCACATGAATTATAGAGGTAATACCTTTAAGGGGTTGAGTATTGTAAGTAAAGATAACAGATGTGGTATAAACGTAGAAACTGAAAATGAAGTGGCTTGCTTTTCAGTTTCTCTATATTTACATTGAAGAAGCACAGTTGAACTTTAAAATTATGATTGTAACATGGAGGTTAAAAAGCATTCGATCCTTTAGCTAAGAATTGACTTGGAGGAGGAAGCATCGCATACTGCTCAAAAGAGCAAGCTGAAGACATGCAATACACCAACTAGAGTCGGGGCAAAAATAGCAAAAGTATATTGAAAGCATTAAATAAATCAGCACCATTCACATTCCATCTTGATAATTTCTCGTGCTTCAGATTTGACAGCAGTCTTTAAGGTGATAGCTTGGTCATCATTCCAGAAAATTTTGACTTCCTCTGTGATTATGTAGAAAGTTATGAATCTCTCAACAAAGTACCAAATATACTAATTTCCCTCACACCTATAGAAGAAACTCCTTTAGACTGTGGGGGAGATGGCTAGCAGTCCACCAAATTTCTTCTCGCCATCCACCTAACAGGACTACACTTCTCAGTTTTCCCAACAGCTAGATGTGGCCATGTGACCCATCTCCCAGCAATGAGCAGAACTTATGCAAGCGGTGTTTATACTGCAGTCCCACTGCTAACCCCTTCCTCCAGGTTTTAACGGCTACAGCTTGGAAAGCAAAGCCCGGAGAACCACCCGACTGCAGATGGCATCGCTGCCGTCAGCTGAGTCTGCCTAAGCTAGCAGACCTGCCCCATCCAACTGAGCCCCTCACCTTGAGAGCATTGATGTGTGACAAAAATAAACATCTTTGTTTTTAAAACTACCTTAGTACTGGGCCCCTTATTCTAGCAACTTAGCGTTTAGAAAAAGCAAAGTTTTCCAGAAAGAATTTGCCAAGTTAATCCATAAGCTTTCAGAATTAGTTTCATTATCTTCTTGTTTATAGAAATGTTGGGCTTTGGGAATAGATTTGAATTGGAAATACTTTCATGAAACTTGCTGTGCAAGGGGCCGGTGCCATGGCTCACTTGGTTAATCCTCTGCCTGTGGCGTTGGCATCCCATATGGGCGCCGGTTCTAGTCCCGGCTGCTGCTCTTCCAGTCCAGCTCTCTGTGGTGGCCCCGGAAGGCAGTGGAGGATGGCCCAAGTGCTTGGGTGTCTGCTCCCACGTGGGAGACCGGGAAGAAGCACCTGGCTCCTGGCTTCGGATTGGCATAGCTCCGGCCATAGTAGCCATTTGGGGGGTGAACCAATGGAAGGAAGTCCTTTCTCTCTCTCTCTCTCTCTCTCTCTATCAAATTAAAAAAATTATTAAGAAAAAGAAACTTATTGTGCAAAAAAATACTAAATGATCTTTCTCTGCATATCTAAAACTGAACTAGAATCTTTAAGACTTTTGCTTTATTTTTATGTCCATTTCATTTAATCATCCAACTATGAGCTTCTGTAAAAGCAGAGTAAATTATCTGAGTTCAGAGAGTTTGAATGAGAACTCTCGCCTCAGAAATGCAATTATCAACATGAAAACCACACTCCTGAGTTTTCCTGAGTTATTTTTATATACAAATTGTTTCAACAGCTACTAAAAAAAAAAGAGAGAGAGAGAGAGATGCTTACTGAGCACAAAAGAGCAGGCCTGAGACTGCTATCCTTAGAAGGCCTGTTTGTCCGTTTCTTCCTTTGCTGACATCATGGAATAGAATTTCAAGAAAAGTCCTACTATCCCCTGTTTCACTGGGCCTAATCTGCTTATGTAAATCTCGCGGTTGGTGCTTACACCTGCTTTTTATCGAGGAGTCTGGAATCTTGACACATGCCCTGTAGAGGGTGTCTGTGTGCCCAGCCCCCAGTAAGGTTCTCAGGCATTGAGTCTCTACTGAGCTTTCCCTGTAAACATTTCCGACGTGGTGCCACGGGTGATGCTGGAGGACTTACTTGCGGCCTGTGTGACTCCACTGGGAGAAGACTCTTGAAAGCTTGTGCCTGGTTCCCTCTGAACTTGACCCCTGCACCTGTTCCCTATGCTGACTGTGCTTTCTCTTCTTTTACTGTCATAAGCCATACACTATGTCTGTGACTCCTCCTGGCAAATCACCACACCTAGTGGTAGTCCTGGAACACTCCTACTCTCCTACCAAATAGATTTAGGAATAGAAATGGCTAATGGAAAAGTAAAGAGAAATGGGCACATCCTAGCCAGCTAGAGGACAGGGCCCTGGGCACAAAATCCTTGAGGATCAGAAAATATCTGTTAGGCTTGAGCCTTGACTAGGACAGTCACACACAAGGTGGCCGTGACAACTGCCCACAGTGTGGGCGTGGTGAGGGCCTGAGAGCTTGGCTCTAGAAGAGACTTCTTCTCACCCATCTTGTGGTGTAGCTGAGTGCCTCAGCCACCCAAATGTGGAGTCTGTCCTGCTGCACGTGCGTGTTCCGCCAGTTGCAATCCTTACTGCAGGTGGCAATCTACTAGAGTTTATTTAAAATACAGATTTCTGAACCCCACTCCAACAAGCTCTGATCTGAAGGTGAATGATGGTTGGGCTCAGGAATTTTTTTTTAATAGGCACACCAAGGATTCTGAGACAGGTGGTCCCTGAACTATCTCTTTTCAAACTGTACTGCCATCTTTTTTTTTCACCCAACACACAATTTCTAATTCTACCGTGAGAAATTAATGAGTTACAATCCCAGTGGGAAAAACAAAATAAGACAAAGCCTTTAATACCATAATGGTTGTAAGGAGTTTCTGTGTCTTATCACCTCAGATATTACTGGGAGGTGATGCAGCACACGGCC